GGGGGGAGTAAGGAGGGAGGGGAAATACGCTCTCACCAGAGGTTTGCTGACCGTCCTTCCTGTAGATGTCCCCGGTCCATCCGATTCCATCTCCACACCCGCCGCCTGCTGGGGGAGACACACGTGTTACACAAGAAGAGGGAGATGTGGAGGGAAACCGGGTAACACAGAGCACAATCTTACCTCTTCATCTTCCTCTTCCTCCTCCGCCTCCCCCACATCTTCACATTTCACTTGATTGTAGATCTCCAAGATATCCGTGCAATTCTCGTCCCTGCAAACCCAGAGCACACACAGTCAGCGGAGAGCCCCATGTACATCGGGAAGGGGCATGTGACCCGACAGGGGGCGTGTGATTGGACACCATACACCGACCGCTGCACCACATTCCATAACCAATTCCCATTAACCCCTTGCTGACCGCGGTGTCCCCTCCCCCTTCCTGTCCCGGCCATTGTTCAGCGCTGCGGTACTTTGACTGACATTTATTCCGTCATGCAGAGCTGCACTGACATGAATTTTATACCATTTTTTGGGGACAGATAGAGCTTCTTTTGCTGGGATTTAATCACCACCTGGGGGGAGGGGTTTATTTTTTACTATATTAAGGAAACATTATTGAAAATTTTGGGGGAAAAAAAAAGTACAGAATATTAAAGAAAAAACAAAAAAAACCTTTTCCCTTTATTTTAGGAAACATTTTTACCCAATTTTTTGGGGTAAAAATAATACCCCCTCATGTATATGACCTACCCCTACAGACAGGATATATACCCCCTCATACACACACACATATGACCTACCCCTACAGACAGGATATATACCCCCTCATACACACACACCCACATATATATAACCTACCCCTACAGACAGGATATATACCCCCCTCATACACACACACATATGACCTACCCCTACAGGCAGGATATATACCCCCCTCATACACACACATATATATATGACCTACCCCTACAGACAGGATATATACCCCCCTCATACACACAAATATATATGACCTACCCCTACAGACAGGATATATACCCCCCTCATACACACATATATATATGACCTACCCCTACAGACAGGATATATACCCCCCTCATACACACATATATATATGACCTACCCCTACAGACAGGATATATACCCCCCTCATACACACATATATATATGACCTACCCCTACAGACAGGATATATACCCCGCTCATACACACACACCCCGCCTCTCTGCCCCGGGGACCCAGTCCAGCGCCAGGCTTGCACATGGAGAAAGCCGATAGCCAGCCAATCAGAGTCTGGACGCCACGTCATAGCAGCAGAGACATAAAACCGGCACCCAGTACGAGAGTCACACGCACCCGATATATCGCAGCAACACATCCGTCACGGTCTTGGCCGATTTGACGATGGGGGCATTGGGTTCATTGAAGGTTCTGGCGTTGTGTTCGATGTAACGGACCTCCCAGATTGACGCTGAAATCCTCCTGCACGTAACAAGACAAAAACTCTTTAATAATAATAAAGAAGAAGAATGTGCCACGCCGCCAAACTCCCAAGACGTCGCCGAATTGTATAAAGGGTAACTCCGGTCCCCGTGGTATGAAAACACACAAACAGGACCGTCCTGCCGCCAAATCCAATCCTCGTGCAGAGCCGAGCAGTCCTGACAGAGCTGGACCCGATATAAATGAAGTGGGGGCTCGATGGACGGTGCCGCGCGGAGTCATTGGTAACATAGAGAAAGTCACCGGGACTCCGAAAATCTATTACAAACACATCGGAGACGACTGCTAACCAGTCACCAGCGACCAGATACATGGAGGAGATCGGCAGCGTGTTATGGCTCCTCAGCGCCATCTAGTGGCCGTATTACACTGAGAATCTCCTTTCCATAGCGGTTCTGTTGTGAAAGCGGGTTACAAAGCAGCCCCTTCAAAGGAGAACTATGATGGGGGGGTGCCGTGACAGGGGGAGGGGCTGGATTCCCCTCTCCCCGCTCCGATCTGCCAGCGCTGACTGGCGGAACAGACGGGGGAGGGGGCGGGTACAGCTGGCTCTGTCTCTAGATAGGCGGAGCCAGCTGTCACTCACGCAGCTGGGCGGATCCAGACATATTTGTCGGGATCCGCTTCAGCTGCGGCGTCTCAGTATACCGCGGGCAGTAGCTCCCTATATACTGAGCCTAGGGTGACGGGAGGACGCTAGTTTGTGTCCCCGAGGAGAACTATGGGGAAAAGCCCCGACCTCGTAGTTCTCCTTTAAGGTTCATTCACACGGCCGTGCATGTCCACACAGCTTGCCACCCTATGCAAAGACCCGAACCCGGGAGGGGGAGGTGGTGCATGACATTGTGTTCAGCAGCCAGTACTTCCATATGGGAGGATGCAACTGCCCGCAGTCCCAGAGCTGCACATTCCTATATAGAGGGATCAGGACCTCCTCCCCCCTGCTGGGGACCCCCCTAGTGATAATAAAGATCTATATAGAGGGATCAGGACCTCCTTCCTCCTGCTGGGGACCCCTCTAGTGATAATAAAGATCTATATAGAGGGATCAGGACCTCCTTCCTCCTGCTGGGGACCCCTCTAGTGATAGATCTATATAGGGGAATCAGGACCTCCTTCCTCCTGCTAGGGATCCCTCTAGCGATAGGTCAAGA